CAGGGCAGCTGGGTGGGAGGTGAATCAGCCTGGCTGAGGTTGGAGTGTGTGCGAATGCCTCTGAATCTCTTTACCCCTCCCAGACAAGCTATTGGTGGCCACCACCCAGGACTTCACCTGAGCCACATTCCAAAGACACTTGGGATATCAACACGCGTGGGAAACACGCACAAGACCAGATCCCAGCCCTCCCTCCTCCTCTGCTCTGGCCCAGGCAAAGGGAGGGAGTTACCAGGGTGGAGATGCTCAAGTAGAGTTCAGGTTTCTTCTCGGCTCCCAAGTTTGCTCAACAGCACCACCTGCTGTCTCAGAAGTCAGGAAGTCAGAGAAACCACGTATGTATCAGCCTTACAGATTCACCATTCGCAGCGAGACTGAGCCTCAGAAGAGGCAGAGGCAGGGCAGGACATCCTACTGGCCAGCTTTAAGCCATCTCCTCCATTGCCCTTGCCTACCTGCTCCAGCCTCTCCTCCGTTAATCCCACCAATTATCCACAGCTTTATGCTAATTCCACCATAACCGATCCCTCCAAAACCAGCTTACCACTGATAAGACAGGTCCTAAACCCAAATTCTGCCATTGGCCTCTGCACATCCTGGTAGGAAGGGGTCTGGTCTGCTCAGGGTCTGGTAGGGTAAACCTCTAAAAGTTCTCATTGAGGACATGTTGCTCAGTAATTTTTTAAATTGCAGTAAAACACACATAACATAGAATTTATATGTTGTGTCCAATTCAGTACTGCTAAGTAATTCACATTCTTGTACAACCAGTCTCCTAAAACTCTCTTCATCTGAACCCCAGTAACATTTTCAACACCATTCTCCCCCCCCCCCCTTCCCCCATTTCCCCACTCATATCTCAAATTCTTCTTGATTGCCATACATTTTTTCACAGACATTATGAATCCTTGTGGAGCTCACAAAATATGCCCCATTAGTTCAGCCATTTCTCATTTCCCCACAGGCTGCCGATAAACACTGGGTTGTTTAGTTTTTGTCTTTCCCAACTCCTTAAAGCAGTTTTTATTTCCTGGTTTTGGCACCTCCTGACGAAGGGGAGGGTGAAAAATGGATAACACTTGAGGTTTGCTTTGTTTTTCTGTTGCTGCAGCTCTGTGGGACACTGCCCAGGGAAGGACTGAAGAACTGTCATCTGAGCCGCCTGGATCTCAAGGACACTTAGAGGACAATGGACAGGCCTCACTGAGCTCCAGAGCCCCCGACACTGTATGCAAACTTCAGGTGCATGTGGGAATATACATTTTTCTAGGGGGACATTCTCTACCTTTCCTCAGATTCTCAAGGGAGTCCCTGACCCAGAAAAGGTTAAGAGCCACCAGTAAGCACCCTTGGAGATTAGCATCTGGGGTTTTCATTTATCCAGATCCTTTCTTGAACAATAAAGGGCTGTGAACCACACGATGTTCCTGCTTTTTGTGTGGCCACAGATGTGAACTGAGTGAGTGAGGACAACAGATTGTCAAGGACATCACAGAAGGAAATTTGGAGCAAAGAGCCAGGAAGAAAGATTGAAGTGGGAGGATGAGGGAAGGGTTCTAAATCTGCAGACATTCTTGGGAAGCCAGACATGAGGAGGCTGCACAGAGGCCTTTCATAACTCACTGTGGCCTTGGGTGACTTCTTGAGTTCTCTCCTGGGGACTTGGGTGACCACAGAAGCTTCCAGAAGACTTCTGGTAATAACACTTATTATGTTCTTTACAGACACACGCTTATCCATCCTTACCACAACCCATAAAAGTGGGTATTTTAATCCCCATTTTACAGAGAAAAAACCCAGAACCTTAAGGATAATAGGTAATTTTCCCAAGGTCAGATAAATACAGAGCACAGCCCTAGCCAGTTTGGCTCGGTGGATAGAGCATCAGACACATACCCTTGACTGAAGAGTCCCAGGTTCGATTCCAGTCAAGGGTATGTGTCTTGGTTGCAGGCTGGATCACCGGGATGCATGCAGGAGGCAACCAATCTATGTGTCTCTCTCACATCTCTCTCTCTCTCTCTCTCTCTCTCTCTCTCTCTCTCTCTCTTCTTCCCTCCCTCTCCCACTCTCTCTAAAAATCAATGGAAATAAATAAAAATCAATGGAAAAATATTCTCAGGTGAAGATTTAAAAAAAAAAAAAGACAGAGCACAGATGTGAACTCACTCCAAAGCACATTCTCCTAATCATGAAACTACCTTATTTATTTATTTTTTTATTGTGATAAAACCTTGTTTATTTGGCCCATTTTAGCCTTTGGGTTTGACATGCTTGCCCTAGAGTCAGGACTGGACGGAAACCGCCAGAAAAAGCGAAGGCCCGCTGGGGGCGCTCAAGAGCGGTTCCAAGTCCCCCTCCACCCACTCGCTCCCCTACCCGGTCCCACAGCGGGTCAGACTGGGGACTGCGCCGTTAGCTCTGCTTTCTTTGTCCCGGGCAGGGAGCTGCAGCCCTAGCCCCGGGCCCCAGGCCCATCCATGCCTGGGTAGGGAAAGCCTTTATCTCACCTCTGGGCTTCCACCGACGGGGCGGGCTGGTCCTTGGCCCCATAACCCCGGCTGGTCTGAAGCGAGACGCTGGTCCCCGCGACCCGCTCTGTTCGGGAGACCACGGCGCTTGGCCCGCCACAGGATACCATTCTTGCTTGACTTTCCTCTGACGAAGCTGGGGCGTCCTCCCGACCCTGGGATTTCCACTCACCCCACCCTCCCTTCCTGCACACACCCCGCATTTGAGGCCGATCCTGAAGCCATCCCTGCCTGTGAGGAGCAGAGAAAGGGGTTCTCCTGGAAGAAGCGCCCTGGTGCCCCGTGCCTGCCCAGCCACTTGCCCACCAGGGCAGGCCTAGCTAACCCCCATTTCCTGTTCATTTACTACCAGGTCCTGTGGGACCCACAGCCGATGGAAAGGGGGAGAATGCAGCCCAAGAAACGCACAGCAAAGCGCGCACCCACACACTACAGCCCCCTCGGGTAGACGCGGGGACGCGCGCCCCTGGGATCCTCTGGAAGCCTTTGGCATCTCAGCGCGCCCGCGTGCGGAGAACCGCGGAGTTCACAGGCACCTTCAGAGGCAGATGCAACTCAGCGACCGAGATCCCAGCGGCAGGTCGCGGCGGGAAGCGGGGCATCCGTTACTGCATTTTGGAATCCTCGCTCCTCGGCGTCCTCCTCCCCAGCGCACAGACAGCGGACGCTTGAAGAAGCCTGGGCCGGCCGGTCCGAGACGGCGGCGGCCGTCAGCAATGACAGGGAGAAACCTGACTGCCACCCGCAGAAGTTGAGACTCAGGGTCAGGGCTGGAGCCCGGGCTGCACAACCTGGCCGCTCTGCAGCCACGCAGTCCTGTGGGAAACCGCCCATTGTCTTCACTAGCAGAGAAGTGCAAACAAGGATCCCTGAACGCTGGTGAACCTTGAACCCATGGCAAGGGCCAGAGTTATGCACCGATTGTCTAGTCCAGACAATGGGGCTCAAGTTATTTCCTGATCAAATAGTCTCAGAGTAAATCCTTCTAATATTTACAGACCTTTAGCTGCTCCCGAAATTGCCTGCCTGACTAAGGGCTTTATGTGTATCCAAGATTAAATAAAAGGTTGGCGAGGCCTGGGCACCAGTGGAAGTCCTTCCCCTTGAGTTGGACTTGCCCGCCTGGCCCCCCTATATTTCCAAATTATCTCTTGTCTCTTTCATTTGCGTGCGGCCCCTCCTCCAGATCCTGAACCCTGAACCCACGCGACGTGGGAGAACATAGGCACAGTTCGAGACTACTCTTGCGCAGCTGGTGGCGCTGCACGTCCTGTCACAGGACTTTTCCAGTCATCAGAAAGGCTGTCAACCAGCCCCTTCATCCAACCCGTTTCTTCCTCTCCTTGTGGTACCAGCCCCACTGTGGGCAGGTTTTTCTCCCTGCAAAGGACAGTATCTGCTCCGCGAGAACGCAGTTCTGCACCTCTCCATTCGCAAGGCACAGGGGCACGGTTGGCTGGGGCTTGCCCCAAGCCTGGAGGCTCCATTGGGCTGGAGCAGCCTCCCTCTGGGCCTTCTCTGGGTGCGGATTACCTCTTTAGGATTAAGTTCAAGAACCCCTGTGGGGAGAGAATGAAGGGGCGATGGGAGCAGCCTGGATGGAGGAAAGGAGCACCTAGCAGGAGTCAGGGCACCAAGCACTTCCACCCCCTGCACCCCATGGTTGGGCAGATTACTGATACTCCTAAGACTGTAAATGAGGATGATAATAATAATAATAACCGATCTCTCTGAGCTGTTATGAGGATTGAATGAGATGATGGACGCAAAGCTCTTAGTACAGCAAAGCTCTGGACCAGCACTCAAAAGTCATTAGCTATAATAGTAATGACAGTCTGGACTCCTTGGAAAAGCGGAATGCATTTACTGACAATTTACTCAGCCTCAGCCCCCATGTCTCCAGTGTCCTAGTCTGGTTTGCAAAGGAAGACAGGCACTCAGGATATTTTATCTTACTGAAAAGAGTTGGAAATAATGACCAATCCAGTACTTTTACATCTCCTAAAAGTGATTAGAGCTCCTTTGAGAAATGACTGACTCTAGGTCTGGGGCAGAAAATGTTCAAAAAATTTTTGGAACTTTTTGTCATGCCAGAAAGTAAAGAAGCTATCAAAGAGTACTAGGATTGTATCAAAAGATCTCCCAAACTGGTTCCTCCTTCTGAAAATAAAAACCCACAGCCCTTTCAGGTTATCCTAAATAAAAAATCTCCCAAACTAATTTCATTTGGCTCCTACAGCTCAAAGGTCAGACATTTAAAATATCAATAAGGATGATGTTTGCAAGAGAGTGAAACATCAAATCATTTTAAATTCATAAAGGTGTTTTTTTAATCTGGCAAATTAGGGGAAAGAGCCAAACATTAATTATGCCTTTCTATATGAAATCTACTTCACATTAAGCAAATCACAGTGAGGGAAAATTTCTATTTATAAAAGCATTCCACTTAATGAGTGAATAAATGATGTTAGAATTAGAATATCTGCCAATCTGCCACACAAATGAATTAATGGAGCTCAGCATAACCATCAATGTTTGCTGACATCACAGTAAAAAACCAGCATCCTGCTCTGGCCTGTGTTGCCTAATGGTCACAGTGGCGGCCCGTGGACCAGGGCACGTACCTGGGTTGCAGGTTCGATCCTCGTCCTGGTCCAGGTCAGAGTGCATGTGGGAGGCAACCTCTCTCTCACATCGATGTTTCTCTCTCTCTCTCTCTCTCTCTCTCTCTCTCATCTTCTCCCTCGCTCCCTTCCACTCTCTCTAAAAAAAATATCAATGCAAAAATATCCTCAGGGGGATTTACAAAACAAAACAACAATAAAATTAGCATCCCATGCTTCCTGAAGAAACACAACATCACCATCTATGATGTGGCCTTACCAAGATTGAACTTGAATCTAATCAAGCCTCTAATTTGGATCCTTATTTTCCAAAAAATGCAGGAAGACAGAGGAACATGTTAAATGATTACCATGGGAATGAAATTAGCAAAATTCAGTCTGTGAGAAACCTTATAGGACAAAAAAAAACCAAAAACAACCCAGTTCTTCAATTTTAAAAAAATTCCAAGAAAAACAACGGAGGAGGAAACTATCGATTAAAAGAGACATAAAAGACAAAATCATTGTTCCAGCTATCTAAACGTATGTAACAAATCACTCCCAAACTCAGTGCCTCAAAACAGTAACAATATTAAATTTGCTCATCAACCTGTAACTTGGGACAGGATCTTCAGGATAATCATCTTTGCTCCACTCAGTTAGCTGGGATGACAGGAAGGTTCGGGACTGTAACAATCATATCTATGTAACCTGTTGTGCCTTTTTATTACACTCAGCCTTGAAATGCTACTTAACTGTTTCATGTGACTAAGGTTGTCTCCCAAGTAAGCTCTGGAGGAAAAGGACTGGATTGTACATGTTTTTTACATTCTCTTTGATGCCCAGATGCTATGGTCTGAATGTTTGTGTTTCCCACCCCCTCAAATTCATATGTTGAAACCTCATCACCAATGTGATGGAGTTTGGACATGGTTAGGTCATGAAGGCAGAGCCCTCATGAATGGAAGGAATTAGTGCTCTTATAAAAGGAGTCCCAGAAAGAGCCCTCACCCCTTCTGCCATGTGAGTTCACATTAGAATATGCTGTTTATGAACCACGTGGTGGGCTTTCACCAGACACTGAATCTGTGACGCCTTGAACTTGGACTGGTCAGCCTTCAGGAATGTGAGAAAGAAATTTTTGTTGTTGATAAGTCACCCAATCTATAGTAGTTTGTTATGGCAGCTCAAATGAACTAAGACAGCAGACCAGGGCCTTCACATAGTAGGTGTTCAATAAATATGAGATGGTAAGGCCAAAAACCAAGATGGCGGCATAGGTAAACACCTGAAATTGCTGCCTCACACAACCACTTCAAAACTACAAATAAAAGACAAAACGGACATCATCCAGAACCACAGGAAGGCTGGCTGAGTGGAAATTCTACAACTAGAAGGAAAGAGAAAAGCATACTGAGACTCAGAGGAGGTGCGGAAGTAAAGTGCAGAGGTACGGAGGGGCATGCAAAAAGGGCTGGCAACTGAGGATGCGGTTGTCTTTTTCAATCGGGAGGGAGACACAAGCTTCCGACTGCTCTGAACTCCAGTTCCAGGCAAGTCTCTGGGGACCCAGACTCATACGGGGAGAAACTGGACTGTCTAGCAGCGGGCGAAACTCGGAACTCGGAACTCAAGGGCGGCTTTCTCTCAGAGGTGCTTGCAGGGATTACCGAGGGACACTGAGATGCGGGGCCTCTTAGGGCAGGGCTGAGAATCAGCCATAGCTGTTTGCTCCGCCCTGTTGATTCCCTGAGACCCTGCCCC